GAACAGCCTGGCTCTTGGACCTCTTCACAAAGCATAAGGTGCAGATAAGGCTTGGAGAGGTTAGGAGACAGGCCTGGGATCACCCAGAGAGGGAATGAGGGAGCTGGGAGTTGACCCTGGGTCTGTGTTGCTACAGAGTTTGAGGTATCTTTCCTCCTGAATTGTACCTCAAATGGGCATCTCAGCCCAGGCTCTGCACCCTCTTCCCTGACTGCTGGGTCCCCTAGTGACATCCAGGGCCTGCAGGCATAACAGTGTCCCAGGCAGCTGAGCAGACAGCCCTCTGCAGGCAGGGCTGCGTCTGTTCCCAGACTTCACCTCACCCTAGTATGCCACTGAAATGAACCAGAAAGGTAAGGTGGTTGCCTTCAGTATCTGCATAGCCTCTCAGTGACTGAGTTGGGCGTCTGTTTCTCTCCGTTTCCTGGATTTGGGTTTCCAGCAGGCCTACCCCCAAACTACTGTCACCCCACCCCAAACCAAGTAAGTGAAAGAATGAATCTGTGGTTTGACATTTTTCCTCTTGTCATCATGTGTCCGTGAGAGGGTGGATGTGTGCCTACAAGAGCTTGCTTGAGTGTGTTTCAGTATGGGAGGGGAGGTGTGTGAGAGCCGGCCTATATATATATGAGGCGGGGCTGTATTTGAGAGTCCTCATGTGAACTTGGTCACTATGTCTGAGTGGCTTTGAATGGTGATTTCTTTGTGTATGTGACTGGATATCTGTGTTTATGCCACTTTTTTCCTGCATGTTGGTTTCAGGGAAATGTGGAGTTAAGAATGGGTCCATAAACCACACATATAACCCAGTCTGCTGCTTCCCAGTTTACTTCTTCTATTATGGAGATCATGTCTCTATAATAAAAGATCTGCCTTCAGTGATCATATTATAAAAGAACACTGTTCAGGGAATAGGGAGGTCCTTTGGTGAATGGAGCTCAAATTGACTTTATCCTCTGACCCTCTTTTTCTACCTACTCCCTTAAACGTGCTCCCTAGAAGTGCTCCCCAAACTTTTTTACACTGTGGAGTCAAAGATTATCATGGGATTATGTGGCTTTACATTTTTAAATAGGAACCAGGAGGTTTGGGGGAAAAGATGACTCTCTAATCTTAGACATGCCCTCTAGGAGACCTTGATGAAATCATTTCACCTCTGCGTCTCAGCCTCTTCATCTGTAAAGTGGAAACAGTAATGCCTCCTGCTGAGGGTGTGTGGATTTAGTGGAAATATTTTATGTCAAAGCATCTGGTACCTAACAGGCGCTAAATAAATGGTCATTTCCCTCGCCTGTTTGGGCCCTTCCCCATACCTCTCAGAAGGTGTGTGGTATCAGCCTGCAACATTTCCCTGCTGTGAGGGCAGGTCAGGGGACACTGAGTGCAGGCCGTGTCCCAGACCCTCCTAGATGCTGGCATGGTCATCGCTTCAGTGAACCCCCAGTGACCCCTCAAGGGAGGCACTTTAGCCTCCCATTTTATAGAAAAGGAGACTGGGGCACAGAGGGAGGAAATGACTTGCTAAGGCCACCCAGCTGAGCTCCGAAAGAGGACCTTCCGCTGTGCACTACTGCCTGTCCTGCAAGACTCAGACTTCTTTTCAATTGAGCTATAATTGACGTATCATTAGTCTTGATGAAATGACATATGCACCTGTTATGAAATGACCACCACAATAAGGCCCCTTTCGGTCCCTGTCCCTCCACTACAGACACCCCCACCATTTCCATCTATCCCATCCTTCACCTCCATGTGTTCTCTCTCGTTCCTTCAGCCCAAATGCCAAATGAAACACAAAAAGGGATAAGAGCAACCATGTGCTGATCTCCCTGAGGTTGGAGTTACCACCCTGCTAGACAGATCAGACAAGTCTCAGGGAAAATGTGACTAGTCTGAGGTCCCCAGGCTAGGACTGTGGGAGCCAGTATAAACTGAGGTCTGACCTTAAAACCAAGGCTCGTGGGCTTGGAGGTAATTTACATGCAACTCTGACCATTCCTTAATCCTTTAATCTGGCAGCTAGCATTTCTTCAAAAATAAATTGTCTAGTACTTTTATATGCCCTATTAATAATAGCACAGGCCCTGGCCGGTTTGGCTCAGTGGTTAGAATGTCCACCTGTGGACTGAAGGGTCCCGGGTTCGATTCCGGCCAACAGCACAACCTCGGTTGCAGACTCAATCCCTGGCCCTGGTCAGGGTGCGTACGAGAGGCAACCAATCGATGTGTTCTCTCTCTCTTTCTCTCTCTCCCATCCACTCTCGGAATAGCAATGGAAAAAGTATCCTCAGGTGAGAATTAAAAAAATAAAAAATAAAAAAATAATAGCATAATGTCATTGAGTACCTACTATGTGCTGGGTGGGCCTAGAGACCACTTCATATACATGATCTCATTGAACCCCCCAGCCACCCAGCAAGAGATCCATTTTATAGATGAGAAAGCCCAAGTTTTCTCTTGATAATTGATCTAATTATCTAATGACACAACTTCTTATCTCCTAATTCATTTGGAAGCTACGTACCTGTAGAACTCTCTTCACCTTTGTCTTCCCTCGTGGCCCTTAGCCCAAGGCCTGTATAAGTAGGAGCCCAGTAGATGTTTGCTGAACCTGACCAGTGTGGCTCAACAGTTAGAGCATCAGCCCGCACACCAGAGGGTCAAAGGTTTGATTCCAGGTCAAGGGCACGTACCTGGGTTGTAGGTTCGATCCCCGGGCCCCATTGGTGCACGTGCGGGAGACAACCATTCCATGTGTCTCTCTCACATTGATGTTTCTCTCTCTCTCTTCCCTTCCTCCCTCCCTCCCTCCCTCCTTTCCACTCTAAAAATTCAATGGACAGAATATCCTTGGGTAAGGATTAACAAACAAAAAATGTTTGCTGGAGGAGGAACTCAGTCTCTCAACCCATCTGTATTGGATCCAGGTCTCCAGTGCCATCCTTCAGTCCCTCTCTCCTGGCCACACCCTACCAATGGCTCTTCTTGTCCCTTCTGTTCTCTACAATCCAGCCTCTACACAGTAGCCAGCACCATCTTTAAATACTGTGCACATTAGACCTTGTCACTTGCCCCAAATATAATGTCCAAGTTCCCCACAGCCTGCAAACCCCTGCATAGCCTGGTCTCTTCTGGAAATCTCACCTCCTTTCTTGCCACCTGTATACCCTGTACCAGTCTTTGGAAGACCCCAAGTTTTCTTGTTTTAAAAAAATATATATGTTTTTGTTGATTTTAGAGCGAGAGGAAGGGAAAGGGAGAAACATCAATGTGAGAAACATCGAATGGTTGCCTCCCACATGCACTCCCGACCAGGGACTGATCCTGCAACCTGGGTATGTGCCCTGACCTGGAATCCAACTGGCTGCCTTTTGGTGCATGGGCTGACGCTCAGCCATCTGAACCGTGCCAGCCAGGGCTTGCCCCAAGTGTTTTACACATGCTGCTTCCTTGGCCTGAAACCCCAGCAGAGTTGCTCTGCTTTGTATTATCTTGCTCCCTTGGTACAGCTTATCATGACTGGCAATAGTATGTTCTTTCTCTGGACAGGGCCTTGTGTGTCCCCCCACAGCCCCTGAACATATTTGGTCCCTTAGTAAAAGTTAGTTGAAACAGGTGAGGCACACAGCAGGGAGATATGAGCCAGGATAAACCAGGATTCAAATTCAGGATGCGCTGGACTAAAATGCACATTTCTAACCCCTCTTCCTACCTATCTCCTATGCTCCTGGGCTGGCTACTGCATGTGGATCACATGAACAGTGTGTGGGCCCCTGGGCATCCTATGTGTGCACACTTGTGTGCATGAATGTGGGAGCATATAGGGCAAAGTAGGGCTCTGCACAAGCAGAATGTTGTCTGTCAAAGGCTTCTTGGTGTCTCCACCCCGTGTTGGCATGGCTCCTTACACTTTCATAAGGTTTCATCACAAGGCATGTCCCTGCTCCCCTGTGCAACCTCTTTTCTGCTTTGTGCTACCAAACCAGGCCCCAAAACACATGACCCATTAGTGAAATTAAAATGCCAACTCAAGGAAAGTCATCCAGTGTACAAGCTTTAATCATTGTTGCATAGAAATCACTTGTAGTAACACATTCCTGCAAAACTTTGACTTCTAGCATTCCATGCGTGATGGTGTTTCTCATTTGGGTGACCGACACAGGAACAAGCCATGGAGTCCAATCTCAGTTATATTTCCGCCCTAAGTGATAGGAATAGGAAAGGGACCCTTTAATAGTTGTGCTTCATGAAGTCACTAACCCTCTCCTTTGGGTTTTGGTCTGCTCATTTGTTATGCGATATGGGCATAGATAGAGCATAGACTATCGTCAAGTTCCTTTTGAGCTATGTGAATCCATCCATCCCATCCACTTAAAAAGACAGAGTGAAAAAAATAAAAAGACTGGGTGACTCATAACCCATCCATGAATCACCCAGTCTTTTTATCCAATATTCCTTTCATTATTTCAACTATATCTGGGCTACCCACCTAGTTTTAGTCCAAAAGCCTTTTCTTCCATCCATTAAATTCACCCATCCAATCAGTTCACCTACCCATTTGTTTGTCCACAATGATCTAATCATCCACCCAACTGACTAGTTAACCAATTCACCACATCCTTTAACGACATCCAAACTTTGCATTCATTCAACTGCATTCTTCTGTCCATTCATCTACCCATCCCTCAATCTACTTAAGCAACTAGTTAACCCTCCAATCACTCATCTCTGTACCTAATCACACTTCTATTTATCCGCCCAGCCTCCCATCCCCCACCCATCGTTCCATCTAGCTAACCTGCCACCTGTCCACTCTCCCAATCAACCCATCCACGTTATTTGAAGAACTAGTCCAGCAACGTGCCATACACACAACTGCCATAGTTTCTCCTCCCTCTTGGCTTGGAGGCTGCAGCCTCCACCTCTGCCCCCAGTGCGCAGCCGGGCAGCCCCCCTCACCTGGGGGCTCTGTGGCCCTTCCCCACCTGCGTGAAAAGTACCTGAGCTTCGCCTTTTTGTTTTGTACACCTGCTGGCTCCTCTTGACCACTTTCCTCTTTTTCACTTTTCCTTGCAAATTCTTTCTGTTCTTGGTGTAGCTGCAGGAATGGGTGGTGGGCCGGGTGGGGCCATGGTGGGAGTGCATGGTGTGTTTGTGATGCCTTGGTGGCGGGCTGGGGCTTGGACTCTGGCTCTGATGGCCAGGTGGGCTGCGGTGGCCGGTCGGGCTTTGGCTGGGGCCCTGGCTTCGGCTGCAACTCTGGCTTCGGCTACAGCTCTGGCTGCAGATATGGCAGTGGTGGCTGCAATTGCAGTGGTTGCAGGTGTGGCTTTGGGGCCGAGAGTTGCTATAGGGCTGGGTGTGGGTGACGGGAGGGTTCTGTGTCTTGGTGTCCATGGGAGGCCACACGTGGAGGGGCAGAGGCCGCCTCCTCCTCCTCCTCTTCCAGCACACCCAGCTTTACAGAGCCCCTGGCATCCCCTAGTTATATAGTTGGGCCCAATTGTGATGGCACAGGCCATGGAGGTGTAACAGATATGGCCCGGCCGGGACAAAGCCCCCTACCCCTTACCCTAACCCCAGGGCGGGGCAACTTTCAGGGGGCCTCTGGGGTAATCCCATGTGTTGGTTAAAAATAGGGACCCCTTGGGTCAGATCATGCTGGGTCCACATCCCAGATGTGCTTTTCTCTTTCCTTATGGTTCACCCACCCGGGCTTTCACCTCTCCAAGTCCCAGTTCCCCTATCTCTGTAGAGTGGGGACAACAAGAATGCCTACCTCCTAGGGACTTCAGACATATTAAATGAGAGAATCTGTGTCCAGCGGTTGGCTCAGGGACAGCCCACAGTAAGAGCTCAATAAACATTGCCAAGCATTCCATCTCTTTTTCTGATTCCACCCAGGCAGCTTAGAGGCCAGGGGCACAGTCCTGACCCCATTGATAGTTGTCGGTGTGTGCCTGTGTGATAAGATACCTAGTGCAAGGATAGATGGGTGGGTAGGTGGATGTTGAATGGATTGGATGGCTTATCACAGGGGTGGGGAAGGTAGGGCCCATAGGCCATAAACAGCCTGCAAAATCATTTGGTCTGGCCCTGCCAAGACAACTGCAGGCAGGACTTGAAATTCAATAAATCTAGGACCTTTTTTCATAGCTAATTTTTAAGTTGGTTATTTTGTATGGCCTGTGAATGATGTTATAAATATCCAAATGGCCCTTGGCAAAAAAAGGTTCCCCACCTTTGGCATATCGGATGGATGAATGATAAGAGGAATGAAATCTACTAGACTGATGGGTGGTCCTGGGGCCTGCCTGACAAGCCCACCTCCCCAGCAAGATTTCAATTTGGGAGTTTTAGAGCCACGTTCAATTCCAGTTTGTGCTGATGTCGTATCTTGGGTAGGTCATTTTGGTTTTTGAGGCTTGGCTTCCTTACCTGACAGGGATGTCATTCCTTCCTTCTTCGTGTTCTTGAGAGCCTGAGGTGACTGTCAAGCCACAGGAGGCTCTTGAAAACCCTTTTCTCCCCCTGAGTCTACCTTCCTCCCTACCAATGAAGCCCCACCTACAGTTGGAATCAGGCCCGCCCCCACTCAGATCTCCCAGCACCTAGGGAAGAAAGCCCAAACCTGTTTTCACATGAGACCCTGTGAGCACATGCAGCCCAACCCTTCCCATGCCTGGGCCAACACCCTTGGGCTTAGCTCTTGGCCACTCTCAGCCTGCACTTTCCCCCTCTCTCCCATGAAACTACCTCAGTCTCCCTCTCCCCTCCCCTGGCAGGCCCCCAGCCCATGTCTACTTTTGCACTGTCACTTGCATACACTTTGCCTTTTGGTATAAGGCTTTGCTTGTATTATCTGCTTTTATTAAGTTTATTTCTTAACAAGCATGTCACATCACTCTTGGTGACAACCACCCCCATTTACCGAGCACTTCCTCTTCAGCTGGGCTCCAGGCAACCCCTGCCCCTTTCTAGGCAGCTTTGTCCTTGAGTCTCACAATGAGCCTTTGTAGTGGGTTGAATGGTGGCCCCCCCTAATTTATGTCCAGGTCCTAACCCCAGAACCTGTCAGTATGACCATATTTGGAAAAAGCATTTTTGTAAATGTAATTAAGTTAAGAGTATCCTGGGTATCCAGGTGGGCCCTAAATCCAATCACAAGTGTTCTTACGATAGAAGAGAAAACACAGAGGGAGAATAGACCTCGTGAAGGCAGAGGCAAAGATTAATTATATAGCCACAAACCAAGGAATGCCTGGAGCCACCACGAGCTGTACAAGGCAGGGAAGGGTTCTCCCCTACGACCTGGGGGAGGTGCATGGCCCAGCTGACTTCTTGATTTCAGACTTCTGGCCTCCAGAATGTGAAAAGATAAATTGCTGTTGTTTTAAGCCACCAAGTTTGTGATCATTTGTTCCAGCAGTCCTAAGAAACTAGTGAACCCTAAGAGGCAAGTATGAGTGGCACATTTTGCAAAGTGGGAGCAGCTCAGAGTCTCACTGCTAGTCAGTGGCAGAGCCAGGATCCAGATCCAGGTCCGGCCCCCTCTTGTCCAGCCTTGTGGTCACTAAGGGGTCTGAGGGGATTACAGAGAGCACATGTGGCTCTGTTCTAACGGCCTTGCCTTGTGTGGGCTCAGTTGGGCTGGTTGGCCATGCTGTGAAGACTCTTTCTGGGTCCCCCATCCTCCCACCACCACTTCCACTGCTGATTTCCCACTTCCACACATAGAATAGAGGCTGTGTTTTGTTTATCATAGAGCCCATAATGACTATCATGTGCAGAAGGGGCTCAACAAATGTTTGCTGGGTGACTGAATGGGCAGGTGGATCTCTGGGACTTGGACAAAAGGACAAAGCTGGTTGACCGAGTTACTTGGTCAGAGGTATGGGTAGGAATCACAGACAGCGGGGCCTCCTTCTTCAGACATCACTTGTCCTTTGCAAGTCTTAACGGTGGCCTCCCCTTTGAATAACCCAAGGCTTCTCTCCCCTGACACACACACACACACACACCCAGCAAAGAAGCTAAGGCTTCCCTGGAAATACTGCTACTCCCACCCCCCAGCAGCCCTAATCAGGATTCTTCTCAGCCAAAACCTGGTGCTTGGCCTACTGAGGGCAGAGGGTGGAGATCGCATTTGTCATTTCTTCAGGGGCAGGATGGGCAACAGACACATTCTGATGCTTCTCCAAGTGGCCAGAATAAGTGGACGCAGGGCCTGGGTTTTGTGTCTGTGTCTGGCAGCTCCTCTGGGCTTCTGTTGCCCATTGCTCTAATGAGGACAGCCCGACCCCTTGTTAAGGGCAGACGTGAGCCTCTGGGGGCTTGGGTGGCAGCAGAAGAATCACTGGCTGAGGACTCAGACCCTCCACATACTCTGACCCCCAAACCAGGGCCAGTGAGGCGGTGGAGCCGCCACACTCCAGCAGCAATACGGTCTTAGACATTCACTATGTGCCAGGCCTGGGCCCACCCAACATTTCAGTTAATTTTTCCAACCCACTGACCTAGGGCGTACTACTAATGTCACCCTTGAGCAGGGAAGGGCAGGCCAAAGCTCAAAGACAGTGACTTGCTTAAGGTCACACAGCTAACAGAAATTTGAACACTAGTGTGCTGAACTCCCAAGCCAGTGCTCCTTAACAAAACTGTCCATGCTAGAGCAGCAGAATGGGGGCTTTGCTGAAGGAGAGCACACTGTCCCGTCAGGCGTTTCAGCCTGTGTCTGCTCAGACTTGGAGAGGAATCTCCCCCCCAGCTTCCCCCCCACTTCCATCCTGTCACACATACACCCCCAGAGACAGGACTGGCTGAGATGACTTTCCAACCCAGGCTACCAGATTGTCACCCCAAAAGCAGGGGAGGGTGGCTCTTCAACCTCCCTAAACACACACACACATGCACACACACACGCACATGCACACACAAGCAAATACGTACATGGTACCACAGGCCAAGGAGACCAGAAAGAAGGAGAATTCCTTTGGAGACTTTATTGACTCTTTCCTGAAAGTTCTTGTCACTGGAACAGCAGCAGGCACCTCTTCCTGGGCCATCGTCGGGGGTCAGGAGTGTGTCTGCTCGTGCTCGGGGCTCTGCTGGGCCACAGGGTCGTCGTCTTCAGCGCTCTCCTCCTGCCGCTCGGGCTCCATCAGCAGCAGCTTGCCCTGCACCGGGAGCTCCTCCTCCTCTTCCTCCTCCTCCTCCTCCTCCTCTTCCTCCTCTTCTCCCTCCTCCTCTTCCTCGCCCTCCGAGGACAAGGAGAAGTTATCTTGACTCACGCAGGCCACGAGCTTCTTCATGGAGGATTCATGGCCCCGGCTGTGGCCTGTGCTTAGCTTGGCACAGTGGGAACCCATTGCCCGCTTTGGCTGCTTCTCCAGACTGGGAGGGAAGGCCGCTAGGGAGAAGTGGAGGGGCTCTGAGGACTGTAGGCAGGGCGCTGACATCACAAAGGTGCCCCTGGAGCTCGCCACCCTTGGATACCTGGGCCTGGGCTGACACCTGACTCAAATCTCGGCCCTGAGCAGCCCCCCTGAGTTCTTGCCACCTGCAGAGCAGAACAGAGGCAGAATACCAGGCCGAGGCTGCCTCCCCCTACCGGGCTGCCCCCTCCATCTGACCTCATTCGCCCCGATTAAAGTCTCCCTGTGAGCTGGGATGACAGTTTGGGAGTAGAATTTCCAGAAGCAGGAGAGCGCACAGACTCCTCCCCACATCCCAGAAATACCCAGCCTAAAAGAGCTGTTGACAGCGTGTGATGATAGGTCAGAGCAGCGGCTACCTTTGGGGCTGGGGACACAAAGGTGCATCTGGTGGGAAGAGCTGGAAATGTTCAGGAAGGTGCCTACACAGGTGTACTTAAAATGTGTGTCCTAAAACTTAAAAACTTCTTTCCTGTCCTCCAAAAATCACCCTTTCAAGGCAGCGCTCCTAAGCTTTTGGGGTCACAAGTCTCTAGCTGTACATGCCCATATGACATGCATGGGAGGGCAGAGTTAGGTCCCCTTGGTATCCATTTTTCAACATGTAAATCAGATATTTCCAGTTTTCTGCCCCAAATCTTCAGTGGCTATAGTAGGCTAAATAATGACCCTCTGGGGTGGATTAGCCGGGTAAGCCATAAAGTGTCTCACAAGTGTCCCTGTGAGAGGGAGGCCGACATTTCACAGAGGCGGCCATGTGACCACGGAAGCAGAGACAAGTGATGACAGGGAACCACCAGAAACTAGGAGTGTGGCCCTGCTGACTGGCCACAGGCCTCACACTAATCCGCCCCGTTTCCTCTATGCCAGACCTGCTTCCCGTCTCAGCATAGTTTCCCAAGCCACCCAGCACACCCTTAAGGTTCTTCAGGCTGAGCGCCTAGCCTGAAAGACCCCTGCAGA